ATTTGATACTAAACTTTACTATGCCTTTAATGATATGAATTCCTATTATCAAGCAATTTAGAAATACTTTATGAAAACATTTGTATAGAAACGTTGCAAATGAAAATAACTGTTTGAATAAAAAATTTAGTCTTTAACAACAATTACTTGTCAACGGCAAGTTTAGATAATAGAAGAAGGAAATAGAATATAAATAAAAATCATACATATTCAATAATTACCTTGTGATGTTAAACTATGGAACAAAAACCAGGTAATTTTGTTAATTGATGATAATGTATTATTTTGAAGTAAATAAAGTGTCATTCCAATTGATATAACGGAAAAAAATACGCAAGTCCATGTCTAAAAGTTAATAAAAATTTTAAAATTATAAATTTCCAAAGTAATTTTTTAAAAATTATTGTATTAGAATAAAATGAAAATCAATAGTACTATTATAAGATCCTAATAAATCTATTATAAAATGTATAATAATAGATAAAATAATTAGGTATTAACAAATGTAGTCGAACCTCTGAACCACGGACACTGACGACAACATAAAAAGTCTATTGTCGAACACGGCTTTTTTGAAAGATTTTTTAATGCATTTGTAAAAGAAAACGTTAATCAAAAACTGGATGCCGTTTATACATATCCATTTTCTTATGGCTTGATTTGAAAAAAACGATGTTTCGTTTAATTTCAAGCCATAAGAAATGCAATTAATTAATAATTAAAATTCGAAATTTAATAGCTGTACAGAAAAAAATTCATGAACTACTACTGTAATTTTTACTTGTTATTATACTTAATTAACTTTCTGAATAAAATGACTAATTTACAAACTATAGTTAAACTATAAAATTTTTTGTGTTATTTAAACACTTTAAATCTTTGAAAAAATTATCTTTATTCTTTCTTATTACTGAACACTTTAGAAAAAATGTTAACTCAAGTTTTCAAGTTTCTCGTTTCGTCATCAGACCTGAATTTTTGCTGAACATAAGACAAGTCATACGTAATTAAGTATTGTACAGGATAAAAAGCATGTCTATGAAAAATTAGTTATCATGAGTGTTTAAATCTTAATTGCCCGATGTGTAAATAAATTCAATATAGAAACTATTTTAACGTGTTCATTCTTCATGTTATTCAATTATTTTTAAATTTAATATTTAAATGTATATACTTGCTTCGAAAGAGTATGGCTTAATAACAGAAGAAAATTTAGAAACTTGTTTAGGAGAAGAAACCACAAATGTCAGAGGTTCAAAAAGTACTTCTTGAAGATAATCCACTGACTGCAGTCTATCAGAAGTGACAAAGAGGTAAGGCAAGCCGATATCCACATCCTGAAACAAATACAATAACTAATTGTAATATATTTATATCCCGATTAAATATTAACTTACTTTTCTTTGTACTCTTCCAATTAATCCAGTCCAAGAGCCATTATTTAGTTTCATTCCTAAGTTAGATTCAACTGGTTGAACAGTTTCGAATCTATAAATTAATTTCTTTTTATTTATACAATACCCTTATATATAAATAATTAAAACTTTCAAATAACTTACTTAATATACTTCAATTTTTCTGCTATCAATTTTAATAAGTCAAATGAGATTCCTCCTACAATATTCTTTTTACTGTCCAGTAATACATGTGGATAAATCTACATAGTTTGTGGATAATAAATGCATTATCAATTTTTATTTACAATTTGTACATAAAAATTGCATCTTACCGGAACAGCAGTAATATATACTTTTGTAATGTTTTTAAACGTTGAATTCTCTAAGTAAGTAAATAAATGTAATTAGATTCTATAATGAATAATAATTTCAAATATGCAATAAATATGGAAATGGAAATACAGGGTGCTTCAAAAAGTTATATGAGAAAGATATGTAATTAACAGTGTCAAGAGATATTCTATTTTAAGCCAGTGACACTTAGAGGGTCTTTCTGGGATGCCCATTATGAGTCAAAGTGACAACAGGGGCGAGGAAAGGTGTCCATATTTAGAGGATTGTCTGACCCTCAAATATACCTGGAAACAATTAAACCTCGACTAATTCCAAGTGATGGAAAACCACACAAAGTACAACCTACCACGACAAATCCTGGATAATAAGTAATTTCAGTGTTTTTGTTAATATCTTTTGAAACATCCTGTATAATAAAGTAGTAAAGTAATCTATTTATACATATATTTTAATAGGAAATCTCATAAGAACTACACCATAATATGTATATTTTTCACTAGATATTACGTTATAATTAACAATTTTAACCTCTTTTCAAGATGAACTATAATTCATTTATCTGGTAATAAACTTTTTTTGACGAAAACATGTTCTAAATAAAAATATTTAGTAAGATTTAACAGTGATGTAAATTATAAAAATTAAATACATTTTCGTAACGAATCAAACTAAAGGATATTTGTTAATATGTACGAAAATAACGTGGTTAGAAAGTATATACGGAGTGGCCCGAATGTCAGTTAACCATCTTTTATTTTTGTACGCTTCAGATACAATTGTAAATTTGAATCAAATTGAGTTAAATCTTTACAGTGATTAACTGACTTTTGTGCCAGCAATTTTAATTTTTAAATCACGATCATTTCTAATTCTTATTCTTTGGATGTTACTGCAGTAATTCTACGTAAAACCAAGTTTCGATATAACCTCGAAACTAGTTAATATCCAATCTATGCTCGGTATTAATGTTAAATAATCACAGACGGAGTATAAATTGACTAAAATATTTAATTATTTAAAAGTACACAAATGAGGTATGAAAATATAAACATCTCGACACGTTTAATCCTCGATCGACTTTGAATAAAGAGGGCAAACAAAATATGTTCTATAAACTTGACTGTTTTACACGAAAATCGATCATTCTGTTAACGAATTGATCTTGACATCAATTCGTGCTTTAAATCACTCGGTACTTACACTCAAAGCGCTTCGTACGCATTTTTGTAGCCGTAAATGTAACAAGTAAATTTACTCCAAAATGGAAGATTGAAGAGTGCTACTAGAATAGAACTTTGCTCGAAGAAAATTAAAATAAATCTTAAAAATTCTTCAACTGGACAATACTCGATTAAAGAATTTCTATGATTTTAAATAATTAGAAAAATATATTATTTTTTATTTCTTTATAAATATTTTACCACGTTTTTACTTAACGAAAAAGGAAAAAGATGACGAAAATTTTGAAAAATTATAAACTTTATACAGAAGATTATCATAGAAACAATAATTGAGATGTAAGAAAATGATTTTCTATAATTTCCAATGAAGATATAGAAATTGCAATAAGGTTGTACTACAGCAACGAGTTGCTTATCTTTCCCGACAACATTTAAAACTATACGTGGTGCCATCTGCTACTATATTTTATTTTAAAAACTTTTTATATTTTTAATTATAAAATGGCAAAAGCTTAATTTTCAGAGTCGGGATGAATATAATAAAAATTGTGCGATAATAACGAGTAAAATCATTAACTCCGACTCTATTCGAGATACGTCACACCGCCCTCTTTCTCTCCCCACCTTCTCGACCTTTAACCACCAAAATTTAATAGCATCAATCCCGATAATAAAAAACCTTCCTGCAAAATTTGAGACATTTTCGCAGGAGTTAAGCTTCAAAGATGATGACGCACACACCAACATCCATACATACGTTGCATTTCGCTACGTTTCAAAGTCNTATTAATTAAAGATTATTTTATCTAAGTTTTCAGTAAATGTATGTTCAAATAAATTATTATTCCTTTATTTGTTCTGTTGTTTGCTAAATTTTGTCATTTCTTATCTATGTGAATTTCTCAAGGTATTGTTCGCTGTTTCTTTTCTAGATAGTATTTGAAGAAGAATTTAAAGAAATAACAGTTAAACTACTTGCAGATGTGAACAGTTATTTTTATCTTTGTTGTTTTTATAATTTGCTATTTTATAAAAGTTTTTATTGAAGTCGAATTTGAATTTTTTTTGCCATTGTGGAATATCATAGCCCCTTGTCGTTGTCATAATAGCGGTTGATAGGTATTACGATACTTTAATATATATTTTTGTTAACTGGTAGACTAATGTTATGACTATTTATTGAGCAAAACAATACTTCATTCGAAAACAATTATTAACGAAAACTGATGTGCGAAATGTTCTGCCTTATTGGAAGTTAAAGTTTATATTTTGCAGTATATAATTACTTCTTGTCTCAATAAATGTTGATGAACGAATCTCAGAAACTGTGTAGTAGAGTTAACAGAGACTTATCACAATGCTACTGATTTATTTATATAATTCTTTTTATAAGCTTAAGTTTTTTCCTATCATTATACAGCTTTCTGATTATCTCAATATCAAAAATAAATACTGAAATATTCGTTGTAAACGATGCCAGTGATAAAAGATTGTTTCTGAAATATTACAAGATGCACGAATATTTTCGGAACTGTTCTGGCAGCATCCAGATCTTTGCAGCAGCATCTTTTTTTATTAGTGACATTAGTCATTACACTTGTGTCAAATTTCTTTCTTTTAAATTTTCATTATTTTCCTTTTACACGCCATACAAAGAATACCTTATATAATGTTTGCATTGAAATGCAGCTGTGTGTTTTCTCCATTTCGACATCAAATTACCTAAGGTAATTTATCCTACATACTCGACATTGTACAGCTTTTTCCATCTTTTTGTAAAGTATAAAGTTTTTTTGAAGATAAGTCATAGTATCAAATAAATAAATAAAACTTTATTAATGTAATTGTTTATCTGAAAGTTTTATACTTTGAAAAATTTTCCACGGATACCCAAGCCTGCTAGTGCAGAGTTTCGGGTTACACACTATAACTACCAAAAATTTCGTAAGTGTAACAACGTTAAAGTATGAGTTTTATTCTCCAAAAATAGAGGTTTGAATTATATTTATCGAATAATATTTATACTGCATATACAATAATTCTTCCTTAAGATTATTCGCCCACGGATATGAGGTTGGTCATCCAATGTTAACTTAAAAAATAGATACTAGTTATGATAAAATAAATAGTGTTAATTAAGATTCAATTAAGAACAGCCAGTAAACCTACGATAAGTTTACTGGTTGTTACTACTCTTGGGAATCTTTATCAAAATAAACAATTGAGGGGCACATAGCAAATGTACAAAGTAGTTGTTTGCTCTGTTATTTTGAACGAATAATGGAATGAAACATAATGTGCTATCTATCATTCATATCTCCATTTATTTTCCTAGAATGTTACATTTAAGTACAAAACATTTAAGTTACAAAAAGTACATTTAAGTTAAAAAATACAATTCTGTTTAGATTTCACAATGAATGCATTTAATCGTAATCTGATTTTCTTGATTATAACATTTATTTTCTTTAACAACGAAAGTGATAAGTAATTATATATGAACAATTTTATTAATCTTTTCTATAAGACCTATAGTGGCGCGGGTTCACTTTTTTCTAACGAGCTTTTTTCACCTTTTTCCGCCATATGAGCAGTAAAAAACGCTTCCTTTAGCAAACAAATTACAAGTTCGGCTACGGCCATAATGAGACGACCGGGTTATGAGAGACAGGACCTGACATACTGGGACTGAACACATCGCCTAAAACTTCTTGTGGCTTTTTGACTCGTCTGTATTCGAATTCCGTGTTCCCCAGAGCGGTAGGCCACCCGACTTTTGAAGTGAGCTGGCCGGTTTCAGTTTTCTGTTTATTCACGTCTCTAAAACCAGAATAGGGCCAGTGACTCACAGTGTTGTTTTTCTCAATCAGGAACTCGAGGTCTGCAATTTCAGCGAAGCTCTTTGTACCTTGTTGTGCATTATACAATTGTAGTTGATTAAGAAAGGTTCCAGAATGGTTTACGCTTCAACGGTAAAGAAGTGTATGTCTCCCAATGTGTATTTTATGTGAAAACTGTAACAAGATTTTATAAAACATTTTAATTTTCATTTATTTTAATAAATATCCGATTTATAATTGTTTATTTTTAAAGCAATAATTGAATTTGATGTGAAGTAAATTCTTCATCGAGTTATATTATAAACAACCAAAGAGTTAAGTAATTGTTAAATTACAATAAAAATTAAATACAATAACATATAGTAGAAAGTCATTGCATTGTATTTCTCAAGCTGAAGTTAATGTTAACTAGAAAAGTCCTACAAGCTCGAACAAGAGAAGATTTAGTTTTTAATCTATCCAACCATTTCAACACCCACTTAATAAAATTAAGATATAAAAAACATATACCAACTCTAACGCTGTGATATAACACGAAACACAACGGCCAAAGCTGTGTGAATATTTAATAAAGTTTTATTCAATAGAATGAAATTTTATATTCCAATCATAAGACCATACCTCTGCATTGTACAAAACAAACTTTGATATATTTATACCTGAATTTCTCGGTTTGTTTAGCCAATCTATTCTTCCCACATATCTGAATGATCTTAAACGGCAGTGATTCTGCTTTGTTCTTGTTTGAAATTAATGATATAAACAAGTTTTTTTAATGTTCAAGGTACTCAGAATTCGACAGCATTAATATCAATACATAGAATTGTACTCAGTAAAACGGCATTATTACAGCAAATACGCGAAACAATAATAAAGCTTGTTTCATTTTAAAAAATGATGTTATAGGCTTGTTTATCTAGCTTGTGTATTAGCTGCTTAGTTAGGAGGCAAGTTTATTCATTTATTTATTCATTCTTCCATTTTTATTTACTATGTACTGTCAAGTACTTCCCTTGCCTTACATGGAGCATTACCTGAAGATAAACAATACAAATACGTTACAATATATATTCGTAGAGAAAATTAAATAACATTTAGTTGTAGTAATGGTAAATAACAATTTTTTTAGAGACGTTGATAGCACGATCACAATTTAACTATTAACATTTACATAAATATAGAGTTATTACAAAATAGATTTACGATTGATATTTAATAATATTTTTGGTTGATTAATATGTATTTAATTAATAAATATCTTGGTGATTGAGTACTTATAGATTAAAAATGTGAACAGAAATAACTGTTTCAGGTCTCAATAACATAATTCTCAGCCTTAGTAGTTAGAAATTAGATTGAGGTATGTTGTTGCCGCNAATAATATTTTTGGTGATTAATATGTATTTAATTAATAAATATCTTGGTGATTGAGTACTTATAGATTAAAAATGTGAACAGAAATAACTGTTTCAGGTCTCAATAACATAATTCTCAGCCTTAGTAGTTAGAAATTAGATTGAGGTATGTTGTTGCCGCTTCAAGATGCAATGTTGTTAAGCAACAACAGATACCTAAAGCAGGATGTCTTGAACATAGTATTATTAAAAAGCAATTTATAAGTAACAAATCACCTCTGTAGCGCAGGACGATTCGAATGCACGTCTGAGATATCACAAGATACCATTGACACAGCACTTCCAGGCACTAAATACACAGATATGATAACAATCAACGCACAGGGTACAGCACATGAAGAACAGCATCATCCCTCGTAGAAAATGTGTAGAAGTTTTTTTTTTACAAGCACTTTGAAGATATCGTAGCACTTCCATTAGAACATCATTGAAAGATGGTTCACACATAATCAGACCATGATGATCAGAACACTTGTTGCATATCACATACAACAAGGTTGTAGTATTGCTTCCAGGATGCAAACTATTGAGAGTAGTGCAAACTCTGTAGATATTATTCAATAAGGTACAATACTTACCTACAGCACATAGCCTTAAACTTGAGTACAGTCTCACGGTATTTTCATTAGTACAGTACATCCAAGGCACTGCGATTAGGACAATGAACGCCAATGATGATTGACGCATAGAAAAGCAGAGCACTTTCATTAGGACAACACTGCCGAAAGATGGTTTACAGACACTAGTTAATAATGATCAAAACATAACTGAACGAAGATTGGCACTAGTCATTTGCTCCTCATTTTCAAATCACACTCCCTGTGAGTTGGAAATGTTATTCTCGTATATAGTTGGCAAATGCACAAGGCCAATCAATTTGAAGAACACAAATTTTCACAGAAAACGTGGAACATGTCCAGACACACGATCATTCAATTGAAATATTATCGTTCAGACAGATCGTAGACAAGTTGATGAAATTGTGCATGTAGTTTTAGCGTTATATTATTTGATGTGTTATTTTAGTAATACTTTAAGCAAGTCTAGTAAAGGCATTATAAACTTCAAGAGATGTCCATATGACTGATAATTGGCAGGGCGAGTTAATTCCTAGTTGATCTAGTAGTAATTTTATCTCTAGTCGTTCACGATCAATTGGTATGCAATCATAAAAATAATGTTTGGAACCATTTTCCATAAGACAAGTAGGCAATTGTTTTAATAAATATGCAGCCTGAATTGGCCAAATGGAAAAAATAGTGCGTGGGGTTTGCAATCAATCATAAACTTCCCAATGTAAAATCGACCAAATATTGCGTTTTCCGTTCAATTTATTGAATTTTACTTTTTCTAAAATGTAATATAGAATATTTCTAATTATTATTCATCTTGTTTCAGCTGTTATAACATCAAAAAAGTATGCGATAAATTAAAAACACCGTCAATATTTTACATTTTAAGACTGAAACAACTTTAATAAGTCTACAAAAAAGAAAACCTAAAGGTATTATTTCAATGTATAGGGATTATTAATTAATATGTGTCGTGGCAATAGTAAGCTATTTTTGTCAAGTGGTTTGTTCTTGACTTAATTTGTTCAGTTTTCAATATATAGTTAATTCTTTCTATAACAAAACCGAAAAGGACCGAACAACTCTTCGTAGTAGACAACTTTCCGCTATATACAGGTTCCGTTATAGAGAGGTTCCACTATAATTTATAAATATTATCTGTAACAGTTAGTATGCTAATTATACTTAAGTTATATTAATGAGATTATTGGGCTGCAGATTACAAATTGAATACCTATACGTTTCTACTGTCATCTGTTGGCTGTCTGCGAGCAGAAAGACAGATTATATATCTAGAAATTTCCACTGTCGTCGGACTGTCTGTCCGTCTATTGTCGATCTATTCTGTATCTCGAGATGGGAGTTAGTTACTTGAAATTGAAGACAAGACGTAAAAAATGCAAGTTCGAATTCATGAAATATACTAACAAAGATATTTTTAACATTTCAAATAGTCGTTTTAACTATAAATTTTATATTTGATAAAAACGCGAAATGTTCAGATTAAATTACTTTTTCGCAAGAAATTGCAAATGACTCATCGTGTGAAAACAAAAATTATTTTTGTCATATATACATAAGTATAATTGCACCTTCAACGGATTAATGAAATTTAATTCTTATAGTAATTGTACAAAAATTAAATATATTGTACATGATTAAAATCTAACATTAAGTGATCATGTAAACAATAAATTTCATTCTGTAAAATTATTGGCGTAGACAGGAAAATCAAAGAAGAAATACATTATTACAAGACACTTCTATTGTGCTAAAAGAAATGTTAACAAGATATAGAAGTAAATTGTTATATGGATTTGTAGTAGAAAATTTTCTCTTTTACACTTTCCAAAAACGAGCAAAACGTCAAAAATAGATTGTGAAGTTCTCAAGCAATACGGCTCTAATATCGATGCGTATCTTCTTCATATAGGCCTATATTTAAAATATTATTGTTTATCGATACACAATTTTTACGTAACTGTTATCAGATAACCGACTAAAATTTTTCCAGAAAATACAATGTCTGTTATTGCATAGAGTTGAAACTTATTCTCTGTAAACCGTTACAAATGTACAACGAATATGCTATGACAAAATTATAAAAAGTAACATAAGATACAAAAAATGCATTATTGCACATTCCATATCTTCTCTGTTATTTTTAATAAAATTTTCGAAATTAATTTCCTTTAGGAAGTGAAATAAATCAAGAAAAATGTCTTGTATCGAGAATTATTATTGGAAATTGGGTACTCTCGTTCTTATATTGGAATACAGTAGTGTCCTTTTTTCCGATATGACTTATCACGCTTATAAAAGAAGTTCCGAGAACAATTGAAGAACTCTTAAACGCAGGTAAAAATCATGAATACTCTTTTGGAACTCTGTCATATTTGCCTTTCGAGACAACGATAATGGTAAATTATTACAGTATATTTTATTTTTACATTTTGTATTTGAAAGTTTACACATGTAAGTAAAATCATGTCGGTAATAAATATAACTATTTAAAATAACTGTATCAGTATTGCAGTGTAGTGGCAAAAGGCAAAATAAGTTTTATTGTAGAGAAAATTAACATAAACATGCACACATTATATCTGTCCATATTGTAGCTGCATTAATTAACGTCAACAGGAAAGTTTATTAGTAATTTCAGAGGAATCATTTTCAACTTATACATTAGTATATCCTATGAAAACACAATTTAAATTTGAAAAAGTATTTAATAAATTGGCTAATATTTTACGTCTTGTTGGTTGGATAGTATTAATGTATTCAGTGAATAAAGTTTTTGATAACTTATTGAGATCTGCTATAGAGCAACTACACTAACGAAAATAACAACACCTCAATGGATGCCCTACTTTAGAAGAATTCACGCTTTTTTATACGCAATTTGAATAGAGTTATACGATTCTAAAGAACAGCCACAGTTCTATGGGAGATTTTCAACAGCTGTTCCATAGTAAATGTCATTTAAAATCTTCCCTAAGACTGTGGCACTTTTTGAAACCGTAGACCTCTACTTTTATGTTTATGTGAAACTCATTTGGCCGTCTCCATTCTGTATTTCCACGCGTTAATAGACGAAAATTGCTTTTTTATTGATAAATTTAATAACACATATATTTAGCTAAATAAAGCTGTTTAATATGCCGCTGCGTCGAAACATCTATAACTTGTTAGTAATCAACTTTTATTTAACTATTTGTAAAATTATTCATCAAACATCATATATTAACTTATATTTAATGATATTAGCTCGAACAAAACAAGAGATAAAAAATGTTTCTTATGTTTTTATTTTTTATGTAAAAAGTATTGCTTTTTAGAAGGTGTTGTTGTTAAATTAAGTATAGAATTCATTTTATGCGAGAAGTTAAGTCGATTATTTGTTTACTTTCGTGCTTTTTAGTGCTTTCACGCTGCGAGCTAAAACAACTTTTAATTTTACGTTGTTGCTTGATAATATATCAACGTCATGTTCTAAATTAAAATGAATATATTATTACAAGGTATCGTGCAGTAGTCTGCGGTATAAAAAATTAATAGAGAAACTTCAATGTCTCATGAAAAGAAACGACTTCCTGTTATTCTGGTGCGATTTTTCTGATCAAAAAATGATGATGCTGTTTTCTATGTATGTGAAAATTTTTCAATTTATTCTTTCGACATTGTTTATTTGTTCCTTTAAAGTTCAAGGTATGAATGTTTTCAAGTTTTACATTAAATCTTTTTTTCTATTCGTAATGAAATATTACTGAATAATTAATTCTAAGAATTCAGTAAAGATAAGAATACGTAGCGAATTTCTTTTTATAAATTATTATGTATTTTGACTTTTAGTTTCCCTATAACAGTTTTTTTCTAAGCTCAGTATAAGTTTTAGTTAGGCCAACAATGAGTGTGGCGACGTAACGTGGGACTGGAAATAAAATATTAAAAAGTCCTATCAAAAACTTTTTTACATAAAAGTTTATGATGAAAGTACAAATTAAATAAAGTATAGAAGTAAATAAACCTTTCGATACCAATTGTTTCTTCAAAAAAAAATCTCTTCCATGTTACTTTCTTACATTATTCACGTGATTCTTCACGTATCTTAAATTCACTGTTCTGAATAAGGACTACTTGTGTTTGTACAATGAATTACTTGCAACCAGTAATATGTGTGGAAAATAAAAACGACAGTCTTTCTTACTTTCTTATGTCTTTAATAAAAAAATAATTTTTTGGTAGGTGCCTCTGTGTTTTCAGTCTGATAATTTACATAAATCCATTTTATACAGTTTTAGACATTCAGTACAGTACGTTAATTTTAATATCAGAAAAACGCAGTAGGAAAATTTTCACTTATGTTTACACAATACATGTACTATGGTTGGTCTCTTTGTGAACTTCATTCTTAATGTTTTAAAGTAATTTCAAATAAGTAAATTAACTAGCTCTAAGATAAAATAAATTAAATAAAATATTATAATGTAGGATTTCGCTGGGGTACCAAGTCAAGCAGAAGCTGATATACCAGTTATTCGGCACAGGTCGTGAGATCTGTCATCCAAGTCAGTGGATGGCCTAAAGAGTGTATAAAGAAGGATATAGACGGCGAAGCCTAGATCCCCTGTAAGGATGTTGACACTAGATAGTCAATTCGCGGACTATCACGTAGTTACATCTATTTATTTTGAATAAGAAAAGGCGTTAAGTTTTGTGAAAAAGTAATCATTCAATTCAGTCAATAAGGAGGCCATTTTATAAAGAACATTCAATAAACCAGGTAAGGTATAAATGAAGATTTCAAGAATGATAAACTACTTAATTTGCGGAGAAAGAGAATACACTTCGTTTCAAAATCATGCTACCTCACAAACTTTATGTTCTTCTGTATTCTTTATATTCGTATCGATGTGAAGATTCTTCAATTACTCTGGTCCTCGTCAGGTTCTCCCTTCTTGTCCTTTTAATTAATTCAAAATATCACAATAACTTAATAGTAGAGAATATTTTATGAAAGCGTTGAGATAATTTTCATTAAACATTAGTCTATAAATCCTTTTAATGTCTATCTTATAATATTTTAATTATTTATTTAGACAGTTTAGAGACTACGAATGAAACTATTATACGTGCAGCTGTGCTACCGGTAAGTATCAATCGTCTTCTATAATAATATAATACAGTGCTTAAAAATACATTAAGAAATTTAGAATACTGCGAATCTTTTCTATATGTCTTATTTTTAAAACACTCTGTATTCAATACTTCAATTATCATATAATGTTATTATTTTAGGCGAATCCTCATGCAAGAGTAAATAAGAAAAATGAAATTACAAATAGTATTTTCTTTCATATTTTTCAAGTGATAATTAAAAAATTAAACAATATCAAGTATGAAAATACAATTTATTGATACGTTGTCAAAAACGCAATTAAGTTATATTTTTATTCAAATAAATTTATTGTTTAGATTAAAAACTGTTCAACCTTTGGAATCAACTTTTGGTACAAAATTAAAAAATGGTAGTTGGAACGGTTTAATTGGAAAAGTTCAACGAAAGGTAAGATAAAATACATATGCAAAGAGAAATAAAAATGATATAAAATAAAATGTTATAATTTTTCAAAAGGAAGTCGATATTGGTTTACCATATACGTACATTGGATATGACAGATTTCAAGTAATTGACTACCTAGTTCCTGTACTTTCATCAAATCTGCTGTTTGTTGTTTCTCCTTCAGAAAAAGCTTCAAAACTTACAACAGTAATAAAACCATTTTCTGTTAATGTAAGTATAAATTTTAGTATATTAATTAAATTGCTTAGCAAATTTTTCTAATCATCAAGTATTAATGTTTGGATTTTTTTGAATATGAACAATACATAAGTTTTCTAATTATATCTAAATTGTAGGTGTGGATTTCGATTCTTTCGTCAATTTTGATGATAGGAATTGCAATTTATATTCAAGAAAATAAAAGAATATGGACTATAGATAGAATTTTCTGGATCCTCATTCAAATATTGACAGAACGAGGTAATTTTATATAATATATAAAATTCTAGTTTGATAGCCGAAGTAACTAGAATATTAACCTACCGCTCTGATTGTATCCATAATTAAATATTCATGATCGAATTATCGTATACATTTTGGCTGACCGCTCCGTTGTGAAATTTCCTAATTGTGAATCATGTAAAAGCTGGCTGCATAGGAAATTTCAAGTTTTTTCACGTATTTCAAGGCAGAATAAGGAAGTTTCCTATAAAACAGTAGTTTTTTGTGAACTTTTTTTGAAGATTGCACACGCTTGAGTCACCGTATTCCATCAGTCAAATTGAATTCATAGTGTGTCGTAGTCTATTCTTATAATTTTTATATTTTATAACTATTATATAATAGCATATAGCTTGATTTTGAAAAAAAAGTGATGAGTTTTGTAAAAAGTTGTAAATGCTAAGTACGAGTAAAATCGTCATTAAGTCTGACACTATTGGAGATACACACTATCTTCTTTTAGGTACTGTACATTTAGTTATTAAATTGTTACTTCAGCATGCCGATTGTATCGGGAACATTGTAAACTGTTTATTCTATATTATTTTTAAGTGTTAATACGTTATATGAAATTCTTTTTCAGAAAATTTTATGTATTTTTGTAGTGCTTAATAAAGCACTTTGCAAGATTACAGAAATAAGAACTTTTGTGAATTTTTGCCGTATTTCCTAGACTATAGATCAGGGGTCATCAAAGGGGGTCGATATAACATTATTGGGAGTCGATGAAAAGACTAAAACTTACAAATTTTGAACCGAATCCTTAGCAATCTTGCTAAAGATTATCAAGCTTATCAGTCTCATTGATTGTCAGTTACAAAAATTACTAAAACACAAACCGAAAAAAAATTCACAGAAATAGGCAACTAATAATAAACAATTATGTAACCTCTGAAGTAGCTTACACGCTACTGTCTATGGCTCTGTGAAACAATAGTGTTTTCTTTACGTTAAAGTTTCCCATTCGTTCCGATTATCCGGGAAAAATCCTGGTTTTTGATACAATGTCTCGTATATCGAGTTTGTTCGAAATGTCTCACTTTTAACAGGAAATAACAACAAAATATGTATTCAGACACTCATCATAGCGTTACATTACGAATATCGAATATAAATAAAATTTTGGAGATTTCTATGATCAATTTTGGCGATTTACTCTTGTCTCAATCTAGAAACTCAGTGCGGTAGTCTGAACGAACAGGACAATTTGATCCCCTCAGTCTATAAAAATCGTACAATATTATAATTTGTGGTTTTCATCTGCATAATGCCGAAAGGTAAGTACAGTATGAATGATAAAGAAAATTTCTTGTCATTAAACGTGTAAATAAAAATGTGCAATATTTATTTTGCAACTCTAAATTTTCTATTTCCGTAATGGTCAATTACACAGTAAATCTAAAATCAATTATATGTAATAAAATACAACATCATAGTTTACATCGAATTTTAAATTTTATGTCTATTTAGGAGCAAATATAACTGCATTCAAAAAACTTTCTACCAAGATTATAATAGCAGCATGGCTGTCTTCTGTATCGGTTTTGTCGTGTGCATACGCAGCAGTTTTATTTTCATTCTTGACATGTCCGATTTACGAAACAATACCAAGAACTTTCGAAGAATTATCAATAGCTGTGCAGAAAAAAGAATATACTTGCGGAACTTTAACTAATTCTGCTATGGAAATCTTTCTTCTGGTAATGTATTTAAATATTTTTATATGAAAGTCAATTAATTGTAACAGAATTTCTTGATTTATTTTTCACTTAGAAACTAAATTATATTATTTTAATACCATTTTAATACCAGAATGTTAACGTTATAGTTGAAAATTGGCCGTATTTTACATAAATTAATACATAATAAATAAGAAATTAAATGTTTTTTATTTTTGATAATTGTAAGTTTTAAACGGTAGGATAATTGGACTGCAAGAAAGTAAAAAGTATCAATATATTTTTGTAATCTAATAAAACCTTAGCCTTTATTTTTTATAGTGTTTTCCAGTGGTTCGTGCATATGCACATGAAAATAATTTGAATTAATTTGTCTGAGAGGTTGGAATAATAAACATAAAAGTACATTATGTTTAAAGATGACTTAACTACAATAAACTCAAAATCGATAAAACCTGACTCATGTCCCTTTATAGTCTGTCTGTCACTGTTAAAGCAGTATCGTATCAGAAGGCGAGTTGTATTTCCGCATTATAGACTCTTCCGCCTGAGATGCAAACCACACAGTAACTAGTATCTTTAAATTCGTTGACTATTTTTTTTTATTTTGGCTGATCGCGAAGAAATGATATTAATTGCGAAAAAAAAATGAAAGTCACTACAGTAGAGCGTCGTTTATCCGAATCAATTGGGGACTGGGGTGGTTCGGATAACTTATTTTTCGGATAACGAATCATGTACGAAAAAATATATTCATTTATCCCGTGTTGAAATTTTTATCCGTTGCGTGTCGCTTCGCGTTGAATTTTCGTCGATGTTAAGCCTAACGAAGACTCGTTAGGCTTAACATCGACGAAAGACTCGAAGTATCGTTAAAAATTATTTTTTTATTTTGTAGAAACAAAATAAATTTATTGAAAAATATAAAAACAATAAAAAATTATACTTCAGATGTTAATTTAGTATAAAAACGTAAAATATTTGAGTAGCCCGAGAAATTGCCGAAGATTGCAACGGCACAGCACTAGCAAAAATTTAAATTTGCCGACTGGAATGCTTTCGGATAACGGACGTTTCGGATAACCAGCTTTCGGATAAACGACGCTCTACTGTAGTTACAAAGTCTTGACTACAGGCGATGAAGAAATTGTTCCCTGCAGAAACATGTAAGAAGTTCATGTGTTGCATTCGTTGTGTGGAGCCAAACATTGTCACGAATAAAAACAGTTCCCTGCTTCCACATGTTAAGTGGCTTATTCTATATTATACGACGCAGTTTCCTAAATATCAGTATTGACGTTGAATGCTTTGCTGGCGGCAAAAAACACTCATGCATACATAAAGTCCTTCTCTTTAGTTTGCACATGAGCATTCGAAGGAACGCTATAAATTTGGCTTCTTTTTTGGAAATGAATTGTTTTCCTACTCTATTGACTGTCGATGATTTAGGCATCATAAGCGACACCCATGTTCTATCTCCAGTGAGAATACGTCTAAATCCTGAATGATAAAAAAATCATAATCCTGATGGACTGTGTTAGAAATTTCAATTCACTTTATAGGTTATATAAATGAGTATCATAGTTGATTTTCTTTTTGAAACCGTGTCCTGTTTTATATTTGTAGCGTAGTAAACACAAGTATTGTGCCAAATTATAAATTAGAAGTTCAGACTATTTACAAAAAATTAATTAAATTTTTGAGTCTATCAATTCTTCCTTTTCACGCACCATAGAAGTATACCTTTTTTCCTGAATCCTTGTATTCTGAGTTCATCATGCATTTGAAACTAGTATTGTGTTTTATTCCAAAGACACATGGCAAATTTTCCATCAAATTCCTTTATTAGTTGAGTCAACTAATAAAAAAATTTGATGGAAAATTTGCCATGTGTCTTTGGAATAATACACAATACTAGTGTTTACTACGCCACGAGTATCATAGTTTTAAAACAAAAATTTATTTATTTATTAAAATAATTATAACCACGTATTTACCCATCTGTTTAGCTGAGAGGTCGTTTGTAAACTTTTCAAACATTTTGTTTTACTAAGTTAAGACAATTCGTCTGAATTAATCTTATACAATAGACCCCCTATAACGCAGGTCCATATAATGCGGATTCGTATATCGCGGCTAAAAAATTGCAACCGTATTTGTATAAAGACGCTAAAAGAGATTTGTAAAATGTGGTAAAACGTCATCGCCAATTCGTGTCGCGACAGGATTGGTCGAATCTGGACCAATAGTAGACGAGCAGCCGAACTACTTACACGCTACAGAGAATTAAAGCGGGTAAGTTGAGTTTACTATCGTCTGTACAGTATATAGGCCTAGATTAAGCACTGTAAGTCTAACACGGTACTGTAATTTTATACATTTGTTGTGAAAAGAAACATTTCTTATTCAACGGTCATAAAAATTATTTCTATTAATGATGTCTCCAAAGTTCAACGAATTTTTCGCAGTAACGTAACTTATCAGAAACCGCGACTACCGTTTGTTGCGCTGCTCCGCGACGAAAACAAGCTAAAGCAATGGCGTCGTCGAACGGTGCACACTCGGTATGTAATCCTACAATTTTTTGTTTATAGCAAAGTTTATACAGATTATTCCCAAAAAATTGTACGTGTTTTGAAAATGTTGAGTGAAATTAGTCTACAATCCATTAATTCTATGGAAGATAACGTTTCAAACAGCCGTAGTCAGTAAACTGCACACGTTCTGGGCTGTGATTGGCTCATGTATTTGAGGATTCCTACAACGCGAAATTCTTATAAAGCGGAACGTATCTACCGCGTTATAGGGGGTTCGACTGTATATTAAATTTAAGATTATGGTTTTTGAATATCAAGGTATTATAAATCCAAATATTCTTTCATTTCTTTTCGTCCGATGGTTTGATTGCCAAATATTCTTATTAGTAGTAGTATTTAACTATAAATATAAAACAAAATTTCGTAAAGCTTGATTCTTCGATAAGAAAATTCCNTATAAAGCGGAACGTATCTACCGCGTTATAGGGGGTTCGACTGTATATTAAATTTAAGATTATGGTTTTTGAATATCAAGGTATTATAAATCCAAATATTCTTTCATTTCTTTTCGTCCGATGGTTTGATTGCCAAATATTCTTATTAGTAGTAGTATTTAACTATAAATATAAAACAAAATTTCGTGAAGCATGATTCTTCGATAAGAAAATTTCCATCCATGCGAATAACACAATAAATGTATTTTTGCTTATTTCAGAATACGAAGAAAAATAGTGCCGAGTTCCAAGTATTAGCCGATTACATTAAAATGCATCCTGAAAATAGCTACGATACTGTCGAACAAGGGATGAAACGTGTATTAAGTAAAAAGTACGCTTATATTAGTTCATTTATTATGGCAGATTATGCAAGCAAATTAATTGGAGAACACAACTTCATATTTTCTATTGATCGTAAGTTTCCTCATTACTTTGGATTCCCCTTAAGGAAAGGATTTATATTTAAAAATGAATTCAACAAAATGTAAGTAAGAACAAATTAATTTTTGAATGGTGTAAATGTATTTGCATGTATGTAAAATGTGTATATTTACAAAGGTGTTTATATATTTATATATTCTATATAAATATATAATTATATATTTTTGCAACTATCTTTCAAATTCGGTATTCATACAGGAGCGGATCTAGGTTTCTCGGGACCTAGGGCTTATTGAATTCTAATAAGGCCCCATTTTTTGTTATTACAATTAATACTATAAATTATTATTATTATTATATTATTAATATTAAGTATTTTTTACTTAATTTAATTTTAAAATCTTCTTTAGCGCCATTACAATATTGTTCGGAAAAAAGCATTTTCCACGACATTCGTTGTTGAATGATGCTTTGTGTTGCGTGGATCTTGCTATTCTGGCAACAATTCAGAACTGTATTATTTATAAGGCTGATTTTCGTGAATTAGGGTTTCAATACAGTCCATAGAAAACACTAAAAATTTTATAAATATTTTTAAAAACTTATATTTATAAATAGAATAATTCAGGAGTTTGTCAAAATGGATACAGGGTTGTGATCTTTAGTGTTATATCTATTGTAATTAACTTTGGATGCAAACTGTTAACTGCAGTGGGGTGAGTGATTGAACTAATTGAGCGATCGAAGCACCTGAAAACAAAAAACTTGTCAATAGTATATAGTGCCCATTGCAAGAATGCGGTTTATTTTTAATTATTATAATGTGAAACATTTCATCTTTGGTATGCGGTAAACTGTATTTAGTCTGGAAATACTTTTCCGAGACCAAATACAATTTACCAACATAAATTTTAAATTGAATAAATTAAGAATGATATTAAAACTTGCAGCCAGGTATTTTGACGATATCACGATATATAATTGCTCGTTCCATTTTAAAGCTTGATAACTGTTTAGGACAGGGGTGGCCAAAACGTGGCGCATTGGGCGATTACAAGTGGCGCTTCAGTTAGTTCTGAGCAAAATTGCCAGATTTGGCTTATTTGCGATTAAGAATATTATATAAAAAATAAATTTTTTATAGTCTGTCATGGCAAGTTCATTTGTTGCACAATTCGTTACAGTCTATTTTGCAGATAAAATGAGTGTTCTAGTGAATGCACGTATTTTGAGTCTCGCGATCTTTATTTCCGATCAGTTTACAGGCGTGTAAATGGCCGAAAACATTTACTGTGATTAAAGTTATTCCAAGCTGATCTCGTTCTCAGTGCCAATAATTGTGGTGCAGAGTAATCTTCACCAAACGAGACTCTGGCAGCAATAGCACCATCATGAAGCAATAGCCCTCTCGTACAGGAGATTATTGTTGTTATTGTAAATTGGTGCTTCAATAAACTGTCATAAATTAATTAATTCAACTGCGTAAGAAAGTTATTCCTTTTTCTCTCCTAAGCAAAGCAGATTTATACTTATCTCTATTTATCAACCCCTAACATTGAACGTGATTGTATAAAAAGTGTTCGAGTTATATGGCGCATCTGAACTCGTCTGTCAAAAAATTGGCGCACGGTATGCAAAAGGTTGGCCACCCCTGGTCTAGGTATTGCTTTCAAATTATAAATAATGAAAGAAAATAGTACATACCTTTTCATATGGACTTTGTGTTATTAAAAATTTATATTTTCAGTTTGAGAAGAATGGTCGATACTGGAATCATCATAAAAATTAAAAATGATGCATCGATTGACTTCAAATTCTTTGCAAAGGAAACTGTTCGTGCACTCTCAATTGAAGATGTAACCAGTGCTTTTATTTTGCTCGGTGTAGGCTATGCAACGTCAATCATTTCCTTTGTGTTGGAATTAATAATTAAGAAATTTACTGAGTTTAATGGTTGCCAACATTTTATTTAATTACAAGTTTTTTAAAACTTTGTCATTTTTACAGTTGTTACACATTAACCTAATCATGAATGCTGCTATTATGTAAAAAATTGATGTAATGTGTTATATAATTATTCTAATATATTGTATATATATCGTATGAAATGTTTACTTGCTCGTTATTCACAACATTATGTTGTAGTCAGTATATTAAATTATATAAATGCATATTTTGCTTTTTTTCGTAAAATTTGTCATCCTATATCTGAAGAGTATGGATAATGCATATATTCAGTATGAGCTCATCTTAGTGTGTTTTACACTTTAGTTATCAAAATATTCCTAAAAGTGTGCAAACGTCAAATACATTTAATTTATTCAGCACTGTGTTTTCTTTTACAGTCACTTGCTAATATGCGTTTCAGGGTTTTAGGTTCCATACCGTTTTTCTGTTGTCTTAACGTATATCATTGTTATTTAACTATTTGTATAAAATTTGCTTTCACGAAAATTAATAAACTAAAATAAGCAAATTTTAGTTCATTAATTTGTTTTAGTGAACATTTCAGTGAAGTTTAGTATAAAGTTTCTGTTGTTATTTTTCGTATTCAATTTCGAAATTACATAAAATCTAATACTTCATTTCTTTGATGCGTTTTTCATTCTAATTTCTTTTTTATGTTTTGCATAAGCGAAAACTATCCTCCTTATTTTAGAATGTAAACAGTATTAAGGAATCGAAATTTTAAATTCATTGAAAATTTCATTGAGAAAATTTGCAAACAACAATGAATTACTTACTTACAAAATTTCTAGAACTATAAATTTACATTGTTGTCCGTTCCACTGTACGTTAGCTTGCCTATCCGTTTGTCTTTCCGGAATCTCAACAAGGGGGTTAGATAGATAAATGAGGAAATCAGATATGTAACCCATAAGAGCGGTAAGCCTGAATCGTTTAACCAAATACGAATTTCTGAGGCGAAGAAAAAGTAGGAAGTAAAGTCAGTTTATTTCAAAACTGTTTCCGTTAAAGGTGTTAGATAGATGACTAGCACGTCTATATTGTTACATTTATATATACGTCGTATTCTTTTGTTTTTCTGTTTTCATGAATGTCAAATATTCGTTAGGTTTAAAATTCTTTTTAATTGTTCAGATTTCGTAGATTAATTTTACATTAACGTATTAACAGATTATTATGAAGTATCCAAAAATCACAAACTTTTCATTTTATTTTATTTTGTACAATATTGTATGCTTAACTTTCGCTTATTCATCTATAGTTTACATAAACTTTTTAAAAATATTTCTATTGTACAATGAATTATTATTATAAAACCTTTATTTACTAGGTACATAATTCATAACGATTTTGTAAATACATTGATTTACTATATAAGCTAAATATTAATATTATCAGTTTTATTTACTACGTAAATTTACAAACAAATTTTAATATTGTACTCATATGTAATATCACGTTACATTAACTTTTTATGTCACTTTATAACTAATTTATAATCGGTATTGTAATTTTATCATTATATTTTGCATTAATTAGGGGAGATCGGGGCAAGATCGGCATGTTAAGCTTTACTTAAATTTTGTGTAATAAATACTGCTGTAAACTGAAAAAAAAGCTTTGCATATTGTCTATTGGAATGTTACCTTACTATAGAACTGGTTAAAATCAGTTTGGAAATAAAAATAATTAAAATAATTACAACTTTACAAGAAGAGAGAAATTGACGAAGTTGCCCCGGGTATAGGGGCAAGATCGGCAACTTCTCTCTTTTTGTAAAGTTGTAATTATTTTAATTATTTTTATTAAAGTTGCCCCTGGTATAGGGGCAACAGTAATGGGGCAAGATAGGCACGTATATAAAATTATGTTATTAACAATGTATAAGTTGGAATTCACTATTAAAACAAAGAAATACAAATCCAACACCCATTTAATATTATTACAACGAAATGCAAGTTCAAAGACATATATACATGAATAACAAATGCAAACATGTTTTCATTTATCATCTGTTTGATTTTTATCCTTTGCTTCTAATGTGGCTTTATGTTGCCGATCTTACCCCGCTAGTCATGATTTCGAAACATTAAGTACAACCCTGAGAACAGAATGCCAAGCCACGATCTGGCCACGTGAATAAGTTGAAGTTACATCCTTCTAACAGGAAAAGTAACTTTCGTTATCATGGAATTATAACAAAACCTGCCAATTCAATATAAATGGAAAAAAAATATTATATGGAATTCAACGAAAATGAAAATTTGCTTGATAATTCAACTACGCTTGTTGGAGAACAATAAAAACACTACACTCAACAAGCCACCAATAAAACTCAACTGCCTAACCTATAACCAAAGTCTCCTTTTAATTTGTTTTTTAAAAAAAGCGCTTGACAAACTTGCCCCGCATGCCGAAGTTGCCCCGATCTCCCCTATATTTTTGCTTATCAGATTGTTACTGAATTGCAATAATATTAGCATTTATGTAAATATTTCAATAAATTCTGCAGTGTTATTTAAACTGTTGAATAAAGTTTTCGTTATTAAACATTGCTTCAGATTATTGTTGTGATTTAGAAAAACAAACAGACACATCATAAGTGAAATAAAATGTAGATTTATTTCGTGTGAATGGCTTTAAATATTTTTTCGATTAAAAACTTCTGACGTAGTACGAGAATAATGTCTACTGTATTTTAAAAAAATGTTACAATTATACACAAAACAAATTTATCACGGGATCACCAATCAGCTGTGTATTCAATTGCGCATATTTATTTGTTAATTGTAATTTATTTTTAAACATTTGCTGTAGTATTTCACTGACACTACAACCTTTTGTATTACATTCTGTAAATGTTTTGATTAACACTCTCTTAAGTTGCATCCTGCCAGATGTTTTCGTTTTTACACGCGGCTTATTACCTCTGTGTTCGTCGTGTAAAATAAAATAAATAGAGTTAGTTACGTCTTTAATAGCCAAAAACCTGGTTAATACTTTCTCACAATAAAGATTTGCATGGACAAAACAAATAATCCAGGTGATTCATTTATTTGATAGAATGAAGTGAAGCAACACGTAAACAATCCGTACAGGCAATACTCAAAATTAAAATAATAAATTATACATCTAAATCTTCTTATATCAATAAATATAGTATAGGGCGCATTTGTAGAGCCGGTAGCCATATTAGCTGTTTGTTCTCCAGTTACTGAAACAACCACAACGTTGCACGAGTTCGTGTTTAAGAACGTTCAATCGGCAGCACGACTTACACCAAACATTAAATATTTATTTTTCAGTTATAATTGAATTAATTAAGCTTTCTTTGTTTTATAAATTTAAAACTGAGCTAAGCACACGTCAACAAATTTAGTTTAGTGGTTTAATCTACTTGCCAATAATGAGTTATTATATAGAGAAATAAAAGATACTAAATGATAGTTATCTCTAAAATTTTACATAAATTATTTAAAAGAAAATATTTTAACATCCAAAATCAATTTTTATATATTGTAGACAGCATTCTGTGTTCGGAACTGTAATAAATATAAGTTTCTTAACTGTACACTATTCAAAGGATTATTCTTCATAAA